GAAACGGTCTCAATCCAAGGGAGGAACATCAAATGGACCTAATTTGGGAACCGGAAGAGGTAAGGAGTCCGAAATGTACCTCTGTGACTCCACATTTGGAAACTCACTTGTAGTGTATAAGATGAACTAGATGGACCCATACTTATCCAAACATGGATTAATAGGTTCTACACATGACTATGAGGACAAACATGAGTGAAACGGTCTCAATCCAAGGGAGGAACATCAAATGGACCTAATTTGGGAACCGGAAGAGGTAAGGAGTCCGAAATGTACCTCTGTGACTCCACATTGTGGAAACTCACTTGTAGTGTATAAGATGAACTAGATGGACCCATACTTACCCAAACATGGATTAATAGGTTCTACACATGACTATGAGGACAAACATGAGTGAAACGGTCTCAATCCAAGGGAGGAACATCAAATGGACCAAATTTGGGAACCGGAAGAGGTAAGGAGTCCGAAATGTACCTCTGTGACTCCACATTGTGGAAACTCACTTGTAGTGTATAAGATGAACTAGATGGACCCATACTTATCCAAACATGGATTAATAGGTTCTACACATGACTATGAGGACAAACATGAGTGAAACGGTCTCAATCCAAGGGAGGAACATCAAATGGACCTAATTTGGGAACCGGAAGAGGTAAGGAGTCCGAAATGTACCTCTGTGACTCCACATTGTGGAAACTCACTTGTAGTGTATAAGATGAACTAGATGGACCCATACTTACCCAAACATGGATTAATAGGTTCTACACATGACTATGAGGACAAACATGAGTGAAACGGTCTCAATCCAAGGGAGGAACATCAAATGGACCTAATTTGGGAACCGGAAGAGGTAAGGAGTCCGAAATGTACCTCTGTGACTCCACATTGTGGAAACTCACTTGTAGTGTATAAGATGAACTAGATGGACCCATACTTATCCAAACATGGATTAATAGGTTCTCCACATGACTATGAGGACAAACATGAGTGAAACGGTCTCAATCCAAGGGAGGAACATCAAATGGACCAAATTTGGGAACCGGAAGAGGTAAGGAGTCCGAAATGTACCTCTGTGACTCCACATTGTGGAAACTCACTTGTAGTGTATAAGATGAACTAGATGGACCCATACTTATCCAAACATGGATTAATAGGTTCTACACATGACTATGAGGACAAACATGAGTGAAACGGTCTCAATCCAAGGGAGGAACATCAAATGGACCTAATTTGGGAACCGGAAGAGGTAAGGAGTCCGAAATGTACCTCTGTGACTCCACATTGTGGAAACTCACTTGTAGTGTATAAGATGAACTAGATGGACCCATACTTACCCAAACATGGATTAATAGGTTCTACACATGACTATGAGGACAAACATGAGTGAAACGGTCTCAATCCAAGGGAGGAACATCAAATGGACCATTTGGGAACCGGAAGAGGTAAGGAGTCCGAAATGTACCTCTGTGACTCCACATTGTGGAAACTCACTTGTAGTGTATAAGATGAACTAGATGGACCCATACTTACCCAAACATGGATTAATAGGTTCTACACATGACTATGAGGACAAACATGAGTGAAACGGTCTCAATCCAAGGGAGGAACATCAAATGGACCTAATTTGGGAACCGGAAGAGGTAAGGAGTCCGAAATGTACATCTGTGACTCCACATTGTGGAAACTCACTTGTAGTGTATAAGATGAACTAGATGGACCCATACTTACCCAAACATGGATTAATAGGTTCTACACATGACTATGAGGACAAACATGAGTGAAACGGTCTCAATCCAAGGGAGGAACATCAAATGGACCTAATTTGGGAACCGGAAGAGGTAAGGAGTCCGAAATGTACCTCTGTGACTCCACATTGTGGAAACTCACTTGTAGTGTATAAGATGAACTAGATGGACCCATACTTATCCAAACATGGATTAATAGGTTCTACACATGACTATGAGGACAAACATGAGTGAAACGGTCTCAATCCAAGGGAGGAACATCAAATGGACCTAATTTGGGAACCGGAAGAGGTAAGGAGTCCGAAATGTACCTCTGTGACTCCACATTGTGGAAACTCACTTGTAGTGTATAAGATGAACTAGATGGACCCATACTTACCCAAACATGGATTAATAGGTTCTACACATGACTATGAGGACAAACATGAGTGAAACGGTCTCAATCCAAGGGAGGAACATCAAATGGACCTATTTTGGGAACCAGTCACCATTACTTCTTTGTCTTTGTCCTAAACGCCATCCATTTCTTAACTCGGTGTCTTTATCAGCACAATATATTTGTATGATTGTATCCATTTAATACATCCATGATCGATTGTTGTTGTGCATATACATGTATGTATGTATCATGTGTGTATATACAATTACAACTATTAATCACGCCATATATACGAATGTTTTATATATAGGTCAAGAAAACAAAACAAGTATCGTAAATTTTAGGAATGGAAATGTATAAAAACCACTTCAGGAAAAAAAAAAAAAAAAAAAAACTTTTACAAAATCACAAATTGGCTATAAAAACTTGGGTTTCTGGATAAACTAAATGGGCCTTGGCCCAATAAATCCGGGTATTTAGTAACGGGTCCGTTCACTAAGAAGATTCTTGTTTTTCTTTTCACTTCCGCTTCAAAGTAAGAGAGAAGTCTTCAGTCAAAACTCAAAGACTTGATAATAGACACAATCCGAAACAGAACTGAAATCAGACAGAACTGAGGAGAAGAAACTGCGACAAGAGATTTAGGAGAAAAGAGAGAGAGAGAGTAGCGATGGAAGAAGATCGAAGTAACGGTAATTATCTGGATACGAGAGAAGCAGATCGACCGATTTGGCTGATGAAGAGTCCTGTAGTCGTCACCAAGGCTTGGGCTAAGCACGTGTCCTCCGCTTCGTCTTCGTACTCTTCCCCGGAATCGTTAGAGATAGGGAAGATTGTTCTCAGTATCGATCCTCTACAGCCCGAGATCACTCCCGAGGTATTCAATACACACATCTTCGATTTTCGATTCTCAATTTTGTCTGTACTGATTGTAAATTAGGTTGAAACCCGGTTTAGGGTTGTTGATTTGAGTAAACCGTTAAATTGAAATTGATGTGTTTTGTCAAATTTTTTCTTGGCAATTTCAGTACTCGATGGAGATTGTTGGTGCTGAGATCCGGAACATGCCAAAGAGCTACGCTTTGAACATGTTCGAAGACTTTGTTCCCATGACAGCCTTCTCCGAAGCCAATCAATGTAAGTTCTTGATTTGTATTCTATTGTCTGATTGATAACACCAGTGTGGCTAAAAGGTTGATAGTTTATATTGTATAGATAAAGACACAGCTCTCGTAGGAATGATAGACCACAAGTTCGATATGAAACCGCTTGGAGAAGACATTGAAGACTACGCAAGGCTTTGTCGTGAGAGAACAAACAAAGCCATGGTTAAAAATCGTCAAGTTCAGGTAAATTTGTCTACCTTTTGAGAAAACTCCTTCTCTTGCTTTAACTGTTAGCTAACTATTCCTTTTTTACTGAAAGGTAATTGATAATGACCGTGGAATCCATATGAGGCCAATGCCTGGAATTCAAGGTTTAGTTTCCTCCAATTCAAAGGTAAAAATGTTATATTCTCTTCTCATTTCTCAGACTTTAATCAGTCTTTAGTCTTTTACTGATGTAGAGGTTTGTGTGTTTGTAATGAGCAGCATGAGAAGAAGAAACCGGTCCCGGTTAAGCAAACCGAGGTGAAGAGGACGAGGAGAGATCGTGGTGAGCTTGAAGCGATAATGTTTAAGTTGTTTGAAGGACAACCGAACTGGACATTGAAGCAGCTGGTGCAGGAGACGGACCAGCCTGCGCAGTTTTTGAAAGAGATACTGAACGAGCTGTGTGTGTACAATAAGAGAGGATCGAACCAAGGGACGTATGAGCTTAAACCGGAATACAAGAAAGCTGCTGAAGATGATACAAATGGGCAGTGAAGTGAAATGAGATCCCATGTGTAGCGTTATATACAATCACATCTTATTATATAAACCCTTGAATCTCATTTGATCGGAGGAAAGAAAGAACAAAGAGATTTTAGCTAAGAGAGGAGAGGAGAGGAGAGAAGAGGGGTGAGTTTTAAGGGGTTTATATGTTTCAATTTGTATTATTGTCAAACCAAAAATAGGCAAATTAAGAAAGTGAGTGTTTGTTTATGATTGAGAAGTAACAAAATCATATTGCAGTTTGGTTGAATATGTAATTTTTAACATGTTTTAAATAGTTTTGCTTCTTCTTTTTTGTAAACCAGTGTTCTCACTAGTTTTCAATGTTAACGGTCATTTTTGGATATTTTTAATCTAAAAAATAAATGTTAATCCTAATTTATAAACTCTAATAACAATTGGTCGCCTTAAATCTCATCGGAAATTAATCTACGACGAATTTCACAAGTAGAGGAAGATTAAATTCACACTTACCCTCGCGTGTCTCTGTTTCTACACGTTACAGGAATCCTTAGAAGACAAAGCTATGAAGACTCTTGACCATGTCTCTTTGTAGTTTTCTTCTTCCCTTGACGTTTTCTCTCTTCTGCTTAAAGCTCTTACAAAACCCTTGTGCGATGCTCATATCTCTCTTGATACAGTCATACAGAATGGGCTTAAAGTTGGCCTAATCCATGTTCTGATGTCTTTTGTGCTATCTTGTTGAAACGAGTGGGCTTGAGCCTAATACAGATAAGTCTGCTCCGGCTTACGACCCGTTAACCCGATCCCAGACCTGCCTCATCTCTCTTTGTGTTGTCGACACAGATCAACATGTTCTGATGTCAGGTATTTCTCTAACTCCGAATTCTTCAAGTTTTCTCTCGAGAAGAGGTCAACACGGTACTTGGAAACTATCTGAAAGACGAGGTCTTCGAGTAAATTATATATAATTACTGGATTGTCAGAGTTGATCCCTTCTTCAAATGATGTTCTTTTGTTTCTTCTCTCATTCCTCGTATGTTCATGGCGTCTTCTTCTTCGTCTTCCACTCGCACCTGCACATACGATGTTTTCCCGAGCTTCAGCGGGAAAGATGTCCGCAAATCATTCCTCAGCCACTTTCTCGAGAACCTCCACCGCAAATCAATCGACACATTCATAGACAACGACATCTACAGAAGCCGCCCGATCGGGCCTGAACTTTTATCGGCGATTAGAGGATCCACGATCTCAGTCGTTGTGTTCTCTGAGAACTACGCCTCTTCCACCTGGTGCTTGGATGAATTGCTAGAGATCCACAAGTGTTACAAGGAGTTTCATC